AATTCATCAGCAAATGTCAGGATTATGCAACGTTCGTAAGCGGGTATATGCTATTCTTCACTAGTCTTTTAATTTACTTCTTCCCGCATATCGAAACATGAAGCTGTCCATAACTAAATCGATTCTAACTAATGAGGTATGCGGCGCTAATGACAAACCTCTAGAACTCACTCATTGTTGTAAAATCTTCCATTCATGGTTCCAACAGAATTCAATCCCGTAAATTTAACCGCTAATGTACTGTGAATGTCATCTTGCTCTATCAGGGGATAGCGACCAAAAGTCATATAGTTATGGTCTATGAGGGAAGGCATCGAAGTCAGTTATATGCACGAAATCTGTGATTTTTGCCTTAGCGAGAATCCTTCAGACACTCCTACACTCTATCTAAGAAAGCTAAGAATTCTGAGGCGACAGTTTCATCTTTAACCAGTTGGGGCAACAGAGGAGTTTTTAATTTGTAACTTTTCTGCGATATTATACTTTATATGACACACACCTGTGTACCACGTCAGATATGATCATGTTATATCTCGTGTGCTTTAGTTATCGTTCCCTTTATTTTGTCTTGAAATCGTTTTAGATTCATCATTCTTTATAAGCAATGAAATCCTGAATTTTGAAGCCCTTTTCAACGCGCTGTGGATCTCTTTCAACTTCTACAGTGACCAGAATGTTGCACAGCAAGAATTAATTAATAAAGATAAATGCTTCAAGGATCGTCAAAAGGAAATGTAGGAATGGCCAGTTTGATGAACCAACTCAAAGGCGAAGCAAGGATTTCTGCAAATCACAACTCCTTTTGTCTACTGAAAATCCAAGTCAGCAAATCAGGAGTCCGATGCCGACTAAGATTTGTAATCCAGACTGTAGAAATTTACAACAAGCGTGGCCGATCCTATGAAGGTTGACGTTCATCATTGAAATAACTGGTATCGTTCCACTGGTTGATAATTATAAATAACCACCACCATCAATAAAAATTCATGATGCCGTAATAATGCGGTACATGAAGAGTTTTAAGACACTCGTTGAACATATTTTCAAGTTCTTCAATGCATGCCATTGATTTTCTAACTTTGCGCGATTAAAAAAATACGCTATTACCTGAGAAAGCTCATGCAAAATTTCAAATTCAATCTACCGGAGTTACTCCTCCTTTCAGCTATTTCCAATGAGTGTAGCGGTTTCCAATCCAGTCTTGACCATCATTCACTGTCCTCCTGAACTTCACCGATCACCGTGCTTTCCGTGTTGTTCGCTGATCAGCAATCGGCTATGCGTTTCACTGGCTTTACCGAGGCACCGCGGGTTGAATGAATTACTGTAGCAAATCAGCAGCTATAAGGAAAACTTACGCCATGACGTGTAGAATATGAACCCAACGCCTTTAAAGTGCAAAGTGAAACTTCGGTTCAGTTTACTGATGCCTGCAGGTAATTCAGCCATTTGCATTTACAAACAGTATCCTCCTACCAGAGTGGTTTTTCTTTAAAGCAGTGATTCTAATGGCATCTAATGATCATTGCCTTGTTAGCTTACATTTCAGATTCTCCAAGTCCTTTACGATAAAACTACGCATCGTTTTGCCGTGAAATGCTTTCTACTCTCTAGCCATAACTTGTTTTCCGCGACAGTGGTGTACTCTGATGACATCGTGTCTCGCTGCAAGTTGATTCTGTGACAGCCGGTCTGCACAGATCTTCGGTATGATTCCCCACCCATTTGCGCGGTTGTTCTTCCCGCCGCGGTTGTTGAAACGGATGACGCTGTATTCCTTCATTTAACTTTACGATCACCCACCCACCATGCCTTTGCTTAGAAAAATCTGATGCTGAATCAGACGCGATTACGTTGCTTAAAGTGGGTCAGACTTGCCTCAGCCAGGCACCGGCTCCTCATACCGAGGCAGTGAAATTCTTCCAAAGGTTTGAATGACGAATTGTCCAGTAGCGGTGAGGAAATGAGCCGCCTATGACCTCTAGAACAATGCAGCTGCACAAGCTTTGCGCACAGTACGAGAAAGGTCTCGACGTCATTCATGAGCATGTGAATCCTCACTGCATCGCTTCAACACTCACCGCTTCCTAGTGGAAATTTTCGCTCGTAAATTTTAAGCTCCATCACACTTCCTGCTCTGGGCACTTTACATAAAGAAAGTTCTACTAACCGTCAGTGCCATTTTGAAGGCCTTACAGAATCTGATCTCTGCAGTTCCGCCACGGAGAGCGGACAAGGAGAAAGCAACGGCTGTGCGCGTACTCCTAAGCCACTACAGTAGCACTGTTTACCCTGAACATCCGAAATAGCTGGTTAACAGAGCAATTGTTTGCGGTAACACCATTGAGCGTTCTGCCTTTAATTTTTCCAGAGGATTACAGTATTGTCATAAACCTGAACAGGAGGATTGGGGGGTCACTGTTCTTATTAACTGCAATAGAACGTGCTATTAAATATTTTTTATAGACAGTCGACTCTCCAAACAGGGGATGACGTTTAATGATAGGACGTTTTGAGCAGCTGTTCTCAAACTTATGAAATTTTCCTTCTTCTTGTCTAAACTTTATTTCTTGTCATATAACTGTCAGCAATGCGAATGACGATTAACCAAAAAATATTCAGATAGCGAAAGAGTCATTCATAAGCCTGAAAAATGTATATTTAAGTGAATGTAACGAAATCTACCACGTGTTCTTTTTTCCGTAAAAAATTAGTGGCGCACAAAGGAGATATCATCGTCAAGGATAGCTAAGATCAGAAGGTAAATAACTGATGCATTGCAATGAAGA